ATTGAAAGGCCTTACATGGTTGTGTCTGGACTGAACATTTTTTCCTTGTCATTATTTCCTAAACAATACAGTATAACAAGTATCTGCAAAGCATTTACATTGTATTAGGTATTATAAGTAATCTAAAGATGATTTAACATATACGGGAGGATGTGTGTAGGTTATATGCAAATACTATGCCATTTTATATAAGGGACTTGAGCATTAGTGACTTTTGGTATCCACAGAGGGTCCCGGTACCAATGCTCCTGGATATCGAGGGATGACTGTATCTGGTGAAAATATCCTTCAAAAATATAGGTGAAATAAATGTATTTTCTGATAAAGGAAAACTGAGGCAATTCATTATCACCAGACCCACACTACAGAAAGGACAAAAGTTCTTCAGGTTCAAGAGAAATGATACCAAAGGAATAAGTGAAAAGCACTGGAAATGGTAAATATTTGGGCAAATACTAAAGATCATAATTCTATCTTAAATTTAAAAAATATATGTGACAGTCTAAAGCAAATATTATAACACTGTCATGTGAGATTTATGTATGTATGTAGATATATACGACAGTTGCAATATAAAGAATGGTGAGGGATATGGTAATGCAGGGTTTCTACCTTTTATGTGAAGTGGTACAACATTAACTCTAAGCAAACTGCGGAAAGTTAAGGATGTACATTGCAATGCATAGAGTAATCAGTCATAAAATAATTTAAAGAAGTATATCCAAAAAGTCAATAGATAAGTTGAAATGAAAATTCTAAAAATTAACCCAAAATGAGGCAGAAAGAGAAAACAGGAACAACAACAAAAAAGGGGATAACAGGAAAAATGATAGACTTACATCAATCTTATTAATTATTACATTAAACAATAATTCACAAAGCACTTCCATTAAAAGGCAGAGATTATCAGAATGGATTTTAAAAAAACAAGCAGTCTTTGTGTAAAAGAGAAAAGTAAGTTGGTAGAAAAAGATAGATCATGTAAGCAACAAACATGAAGGCTGGAGTAGACATATGGCACATATATTAATATCAATAAAATAGACTCTAAGAAAAAGAGCATCACTGAAGATAAAGAGAGATACTTTGTAATGATAAAAGAGTCAATTCTTCAGATAGACATCCATCGTAAATGTACACGTGCTAATGACAGAGCCTAAAATGGACAGAATTAAAAGAATAGACAAGTCTACAATCACAGTGAGAAACTTTAGCATCTCTTTCTCAGCAATTGATAGAAAAACTAAACAAAATTTTAGTCAAGGTATAGAGGATTTATGATTTAATTTATATTTATAGAATAATACATCACCTAACCTGGAAAATATTGCTTCTTTTCAAGTACACATGGTACATGAGCCACGATAAACCATATGCCTGGTCATAAAAGAAGTTTCAATAAATGTAGAAGGACTGCAGTCATACAGAGTATCTCACCACAATGAGATTAAATTAGAAATCGTCGACAATAAGATATTTAGGAAAATACTAAATACTTTGAAATTAACACACTTGTAAATAATTAACGCACTTCTAAATAATCCATGGGTCAAATGAAAAAAAAATCATAAAGGTAATTATAAAATATCTCATACATAACAATAATAAAAATACAACAAAATAAAATTTGTGGGATACAGCAGGAAAAATTGTAGCTTTAGGTGTATATTTTTTAAAAAAAGAAATGTCTAAAATTAGTGACCTGAGTTTCAATCTTTAGAAGAGCAAAGTAAACTCAAAGCAAATCAAAGGAAGGAAGTAACAAAGATGAGAGCAAAATCAGCCAAATAGAAAGTAGACAAACTAGAGAAAAAATAAGCCAAAAACTGATTTTTTGAAAAGACCAATACAACTGATGAACCTCTAGTGAGATTGATCAAGTAAAATAGAATAAAAATCACGAAAACCAGAAATGAAGAAGGGATTATCACTAAAGATCCTACAGACATTAAAATGATAATAAGCTTATAAACAACTGTACAGCAAACATTTAACAATTCAGATGAAATGGATAAACTCCAGAAAAGAACAAGTACCAAAGCCCACTAAAGAAATAAATCTCTAAATAGCTTATCTTTACAGAAACTCGTTGTGGTTGAAAACCTTCTCACAAAGGAAACTCCAGGTCCAGATGGCTTCACTGCTAAACTGTATAAAATACATAAAGAAGAAATAATACCAATCCTACGCAAAGTCTTTCCAAAAATAGAAGAGGTATAGACACTTCTCTACTCATTTTATGAAGGCATAATTATCTTGATAACAAAACCAGACAAAGTACAAGAAAAGAAAACTAGAAGTCAATATCCCTCAAGAACATAAACACAAAAGTCCTTAACAAACTTTCAGCACAATGGGGCTGGCCCCAAGGCACAGTGGTTAAGTTCCTCCACTCCGCTTCGGTGGCCCAGGGTTTGCAGGTTTGGATCCAGACACACCGCTCATCAAGCCACACTGTGGTGGTGTCCCACATACAAAATAGAGGAAAATGGGCACAGATGTTAGCCCAGTGACAATCTTCTTCAAGCAAAAAGAGGAAGATTGGCAATAGACGTTAGCTCAGGGCCAATCTTCCCCACTAAAAAAATAAATAAATAAAAATAAAATTCCATTAAAAAATAAACTTTCACAAAGTGAATCTAGCAATATGTAAGAATGTCAAGACATAACCAAGTGGGTTTATCACAAGAATGCAAAGTTAGTTCAACATTCAAAACTCAATTTAATTCACCACATTGACTAAACAAAAGAGAAAAAAATACCGTTTTTCAATAGATGTAGAAAAAGGATTTGAAAAATTCAACACCCATTGACGATTAAAAACTCTCAGCAAACTGCGAATAGAAGCAATGTTCCTATCCCGATAAAATGCATGTAAAAAGTTCCTTGGGTAACATCACACTTAAAGGGGAAACATTGTATTTTATAAAACTTAAGGGCAATTTAAGGTTTTTAGAAATAGGCTGAAGTGCCAGGGTGGGAAGCAGAAGCAGTGCCACACAGGAGTTGAGAACACAGCACGAAGCTATCCTGCCGGCAACTGGGATCTTTCATGCTACTTTTTTTAACGACTTTACTGTGTGTGTGTGTGTGTGTGTTTGTGTGTGCAATTGCACCCCTTAATTAGAATTCTAGATTATTAAAAATATACAAGAATGATCCTTAAGACAGAAGAGACTACTCTGAGTAAAGAAAGGAAATTCCTGACTCTTATGCATAAAGTTTACATCTTCATTATTATTTTCCCTTTTTCATATAAAGTAAGCTACATTTTTTGGACTCTCTGGGCATTGTGCCCAATTTAGCTTAATTTTTTTTCATCTGTTCAGTCTTTTCTGAGTAGATTGTGACTGATAACTTTAAATGATAATTTAGCATTACCTCATCATTTTTACACCCCCTTTCAAACTAGAATTATGACTAAGACTAAAATGTGTTAGGCAGGAAACACATTTTCTGTCCAGTCCACAAATATTTTAAGTAAAGGACACGTCAAAGTTGAACCTTCAAGAGCAATTTTCTTAATTAGCTTAATTAGTAATGATTGTGTTCAAATCTAGCATATCAGTTCAAGAAACGCTTTAAAACATGAAAGGCTTCAATAACGAAAAAAATTTAAATTACAGGTTATTAATTCCTATATCCTACTCTAATTTCAATCTTCATTAGATGGCTTCAAATTTTGTTCTTACCAAAACAAATCCCCAAATTTAAATAGTAACATTTTTACTGGTAACGTTTTCTACAAACATGCCAAAAATATTTTTATCTGCTAGATATACTAAAACGGGTCCACAAACATAAGGGGAATAAAACAAGAAGATAGTCTATTTTTAACTCAACCGTTTCCTTTTGTTTTAACAAGTGGTTTAGGGTTGGACTCGGCCCTACAGGCTCCACCTCCAGCTTCTAATTGTAAAAAGCAGTCTTCATAAACACAGCAAAAATACCCAGCTTCCAAAAGAAACTTAGCCTAATTCACAGCTTTGCAAAGGGCCCACTCTGTTATTTATGTTTAACTGTGAACAGATGAATTAGAAAAAGTGTGGAGTACATTTATGTCCCATGTCACCTTCTCAGTGGCTCCTGGTGGCAGAAACACAGGACTGAAGTTATCTATGGCAACCTTAGGAATTCCCATGATTCCTCCAAATTATAATTCTTTTACACCAAGCTGAAGAATTGACTGTTAAAGAACTGGGGACATGACCTCTTAGAGAAAAAGGCTCTAGGACAGTATAACCTTAGTGTTAAGGTTACTGAACCCCAATTTGCTGATCCAATTTTATCACTTCACTCACTTAACAAATATTTTGAAGACTTACTGGCACATTTCATAAGAGTTTCAAATAAATTTAGGGTAATAAACATGGATCTTCCTGCCAGAAATATTAGAAATTTTTAAACCCTTTTTAAACCCAAATGGGTAGATAACACGTCTGCTCTCCAGCCTAGTTCAGGCCACTTGACATCTACACCACCTTATTGCTTCTTGCCCTTAATCTTAGCTGAGTTACAATCATTCCTTTGGGGCCAAGTACTTAGTTTTCTGCTCAGCCATGGGAGATAAAAATGTTGCCTGGAAAACAGAGCACAAAATCAACTAAGACAGTGAGATTTGTCAGAGGAAATGGATAGGGCTAATAAAAACAAAACAAAAAGAAGTAAAAACAGGGATTCTTTTTCATCTCCTCTTTCATCCATCCCCCCAAATCAATCCCTCTTTATCGAGAAATCCAAGGAAAAGGTGAATAGATGAATTCTTCTTAATCAAGTCACCTCCATCCTATTCCAGGTAAGAGCTGCCTAAATAAAAACCCAAATGCGGGGCTGGCCCCGTGGCCGAGTGGTTGGGTTCGCGCGCTCCGCTGCAGGCGGCCCAGTGTTTCGTTGGTTCGAGTCCTGGGCGCGGACGTGGCGCTGCTCGTCAAGCCATGCTGAGGCAGCGTCCCGCGTGCCACAGCTAGAAGGACCCATAGCGAAGAATATACAACTATGTACCGGGGGGCTTTGGGGAGAAAAAGGAAAAAAAAAAATGAAATCTTTAAAAAAAAAAAAAAACCCAAATGCTCTTTCTACAGTTTTTCCCTACCTACTGGTCCTAAGTACATATTCAGCCCGTCTATTGTGTGACGTTTTTCCCACGTATATCCCATAGGCTCTGAAACTTCCTGCTGGGCTAGTGGTACCTGGGCAGACTACGGCATGAGTGAAGACCTTCCCAGAACCTGGCCAAAACACATCAGTGGTTTCAATCTTACTACCAACGGCCCAGGTTAGTTTCTACTACACAAAACAACTGATGGGGACTCAGAAGGCTCTAGATTTTGTATATAATTGCGAGGAGTCAAGCATTTTTGAAACATTAGGTAATTTCTAATCTTGCCAACCCAAATTTACTGATTATCTAGTGGGAGCACAGTATAATATTGATGGGGTATATTTACAAAGAAATCTGTCATACTAAATGAGTAGTAGCCCATCCAATTTATAAATTCAGAGCTACAAAACAGATCTTCATAGGTACACACACATAATATAATAAGCAGGGACTGCTGCAGCCAAATAATTCTTCAAGTTTCTATTTCCAAAGAAAGTTTTTTCTTCCTTTTTTCTATAGTCTATCTTTTAGTTCTCTCTGACTAGCCGAAAGTTAAGGAACCCAGCTTATTGCTAAAATAATTTGCTTTTCTGAAGAAAATCAGGGGACTAAAAGCAAAATTGTGATCTTTATTGTTATTTCAAGAAATTCATTGTAACTCAAAAAAGTCTTACAAATCAAAGAATTAGAGTTTCCCCATTCTACCACACACACTAGCATATGCACAGATGCTATAATAATACCCTTATGCATTAACAATCATTTATAATGGCTGGAAATTCATTTGTCTTAATTGCGTTAAAAGTGTTATCACAATTGAAAACCAAAATTTATTCAAGTGAAAGGAGCAATGGACCATGGAAATTGGAAGAAAAAATTAGTTTAGGACATATACTTCATCTAAAAGTAGAAACTTCTCTCCAAATTCTAGTCTTTTCCTCTTGCAGTTCATAGGCAACAATTTAAAGGCTTTATTAACTGAATAATACCAGCACTGAAGGAATTTTATCTGGATTTCATAGGTATAAGGTAGTAGAAAGTCTCCCCAGTTTAGAGTAAGTAATTCGACCATCAAATTAAAGAGTTCAGACACAAATTGTGAGGCCAAACAAAGGAGAGAATACTTTCAGAATCTCTGGCCTTCCTAGAACTCTTCAAGGGATTCCAATTTCACAAATACTGTATCCCAACATAGCCTTCTCCCTGAAACCCTCTCTTCATTTCCCTTTGATGACAACACTATTCCCGCACTTTTCTCCTAAAACTCTAGATGTCTTAGCTGCTTTAGTTAACTCTTCTTTCTGTACCTACCTCTTAAATATTTATATTCCCCAGAATCCTGTCTTCAACCATTATTATGCCTCACTTTACTCAGTCTTCTACTAATTAAGCATGGCTTCAGGTTTCACATGCTTCACATGCTTAGATACGAGTCTGAATCTCCGACCAAGATCACTCTATTGAAGTTAGATAGATTCACATCTCCAACTGGCTGTCCCACAGCATCTCAATTCAATGTGTCCAAAATACAATCCATTATATTTCACCGAATCTGCTCACCCTCATGTATTTTATGTGTTAGTTTAAGGTATTAAAATTCATTTAGAACACTGTCTTGTATACAATAAAAATTTATTGAATGCATGAAACTAGTCAGTTGGTCAATAACTATTAATTGAGTACATTAGTATAGCCAGGCACTGTGCCAGGTGTTAGGGAATATACGTATAAGCAAGAAAGACAAAGTCCTTGCCCTCATGGAATTCATCCAATGGAGAAGACAGCCATTAAATAAAGAATTACACGTGTAATTAATTTTTTACATTAATTACAAATGTAATGACAAAGGAAATAATAACCCGTCCAATCACCCAAACCAGAAAACTTGAAAAGATCTTCAATATTTTTCTTTCTCTCATGCTCAGTTTTCAACTAGTTCTCAAATCTTATTAGTTTCATTTCTTAAATTTTTCTGATTTATTTCTCTTCAGCATTACTGTCCTGCTCAATTCAGGGTTTCATCATCTCTTTCCTTTAACTGGTCTCCCTGACTGAAATCTCTCTTCTTTATGGCCCTTTCTACAGTATAGATGTGATGGTGTCACAATCCTCCTGAAAACCATTTATGGGTCCCATTTGGCATGAAGAATAAAGCCCCGAATGCACAGTTTTCAGGGTTCTCACAGTCCAGCCCTTCCTTGTCTTTCCAAACTTACTATATGCCCCTCCCCTGTGCCCTGATCCCTAGCCATATCACACCTGCATTCTCTCAGACCTTCCTTGTCTAATACTCGATCTCAGAAAAGTAGAATCGGCTGGAAAACATTGGCGTCCTGGCTGGAGTAGGATTCTAGAGGCCTGGCCAGATCATGTGTAATGAAGCTCATCTTGCTTGAAGCTGCAATAGGTCAAGGAGAGGCGCAGTTATCAGAAGCAGTGTACTTTGAGAATACCAGGTCAGACCAAGAGTAGATAGCTAAAAGTCAAGTCAGTCTTCTAAAATGGAACACACGTCAACCAGGATCCAAAGAATAAAACCAAACAGAACAGAGATTAAAGGTTTCAGAACAAAAAAGTATCTGAAGCAGACAATGAAGAAATGGAACCAGAAGTAGCTTCTAAATTAAGGACAGATGACATCCATAGATTTTTTTTAAATGTGGTTCTCACAGCTGCTGATACTAACATAATAGGAAACATAATCAACCCCAATTTATTCTTTGAGGTTCTTCTCCATGAAAACTGTTTACTCCAACATCTTCATCTCCTAGTAAATCCTTTTCTCCATAATGTTCCCACAGACCTTTGCATATGCCACCATTCTAACAAGTGGCACACTCAGTACCAATTACAGCTAACATACAGCGTGAGGGAGGGGCTATGTCTTATTCATCCTTTTATTCTCAATGGGAACACATAGTAAGTTTGTTAAATTAATGAATAAATATAATGAAATAATAAATGAATGAAGAAATGAGTATAGTAGTCCTAACTTAATGGTACCTAATAAATATAAATATCTGCTATTAAACTTAGAAATTGACTTTGGGAGCTTATTGCTTTTGACTGTAGAATAATTAGGTACAGGATGAGAAACTTAATACTCTTTCTTGGATTTAACTAAAGAATTCAGAAGTGGAACTCAAAAAAAAAACATTCAAATAGTCCAAGAAAGGTGCAAATAAATACGATTATAAAGTTTATCAAAATGCCAATATGATGCTGTTCAATAATGTCTTATTTTGCTTTGCTTTTAAATAGTTAGGTCCTACTGAGGCAATGGTATAACAGATATTCCACTCATTAGTTTATTCCTAGCATTAATGGCTTATCCTTCTCTACTTTAACCAACAATCAATTTAACCAAATATTTGCATTACTTGAATAATCATAACTATTATATTAATCTCAAAATCTTTTTGAGAGCATACATAACTGAAATTTTATAATCCTTATGGCACATAATTCAATGCCAACTACCCTTTGGAAATGCAATATAAATTTGATAACACAAAAATAAATGGGTTGGATTAGATTAACTTAGCCCCTTTAGATAAAAATTCTATATTATTACAATTATTTTAGATGAAATAAATAGAAACTATGAGGTATAGTGGAACAGACATTTCACAATGAGAAATGGCAATCTGGCTATATGCCACGTCAGCTAACCTGTCCTTGCCATATGCAGCTGCCTCCCAGTAAGAACTAGCAGTCAGCACCCTTACTTTCTACGCAAACTATGCTCTCAGCATTTTTCCCTGGTCCCATCTTGTACCCATTCCAGATCTCCTGGGAGTTTGACTTTGCTGCGTCTTCTCCTCTCGAACCTACTACTGCTCCTCTGGTTTCCCACCCAAGCCTCTGTCTGTGTTCAGCCCTCAATTTTGCATCCTATAATATCCCAACCTGATCCAACTTGCCATGAGAGACTCTACCTTCTGCTGATCTATGCCGGCAGCTCTGCCACCAAATTTGGTCTTACCCACACAAGAGGGAAATGTGCATAATAACTTGTCAAGGGTCATGGAGTAGGTGGGATGCAGAACCATGTGTCTAAAATATGATACAGTGTGATGTCATAGAAAATCAATAGAACTTAAAGACAAATGGCAGCTCTGAATCCTAATGTTGCCATTTAATGGCTGAGTAAATCAACCTGGACAAAAGGCTGGCCTATGACATACAAGGAGCACTCTCAACACAATACTGTTTATTATGAAAACTTTCCAACTCATACAAAAGTATAAAACCAGTATAATGAACCCCATATGCCCTTCAGCCAGCTCAGGAACTGCAAACATTGGCCAATCTTGTCTCCTCCACTCCTTTGCCAATACTTTTTCCTGAAAATAAACCCCAGGTTATCATATTATTTCATCTGAAATCTTCACTGCTGTATTTTAATAATATAAACTCATTGCTATTATGACACCTAACAAAATTAACACTAATTCCATAAAATCACCTAGTGCCCAATTCATGTTCAAATTTCCCTGATTGTCTCAAATTGTCTTTTAAACTTTTCATAGCTGGTTTCTTGTAAACAAGATCCAACTAAGATCTACACATTCTATGACATTTTTTATCAGATAATACGGGAGAAAGCCTATAATAGGCATTAACTTACCCTTTTAATTCTGTGGTTTGTTGTGAAATTGATGACTTTACTCCACTCAACACAAACCTCTAGACCTATACTTTTCAATATAATAGCCACTAGCCACATGTGGCTATTTAAATTAATTAAAATTAAGTAACATTAACAATTCAGTTTCTCAGCCATACTAGCCACATTTCAAGGGTTCAATAACCACATGTGGCTAGTGGCAGCTATACTGGATGGCAAAGATATAGAATATTTCTTCCATCAGTAAGTGAACAGTCATAGTACATGTTCTACAGCGTCACAGAAAATTCTATTGGGTAATGCTACTCTAAATCCTGAAAAGAAGACATACCTATGCACCAGTGAGACTGCCTCTCACTTCATAGAACTTAGAAAACAAGTCTCACCATAAACCTTTGGTGCAGGGTTGCCGAGGACTCGTTAGAGTCATCCGACACCTACTAGACCATCCCTAGTCCGGGGGCCCTCGACACGGCTCCTCGGGAAGACTTGCCAGCAGGCCTCAACCCACAAATGGGCTATGCTTCTACAGTTTATTTGTAACCTGTTTTGAACTTAAAAACATTTTGTTCAGGTTCCCAGGCTACCCTTAAAAACTCCATCAACTCAAAACATGGCTTAAATTTTATACGAGGAACAATAGGAAAAAAAACTATTATTGCTATTGCTATATTATTGCTATTGTGAGCAGGCCTGGAAACCAAATAATTATGCAAGTGTAATTTCTGCATGTGAAAGTGTTCTTCAGGGTAGAGAAGAAGAGAAGAGAGTGCCACTGGAAACATGTCTCATCCTTTAGTCTCCTTTCTCCACTTCTTGCACAATGGAGAAGAAGGAGCAAAGAGGAAAGCAGAACGTTGGAGGACACTTCACTCAGGAAGAGCTGTCCCCAGCCAGAGGTTAAACAGCCAATCACATATATGGAATATTTGCAAATGAGTCATTATAAATAAAAATCACACAGTCCAACAGAAGTAATTCCTTCTCACGTATTTAAGCTGAGCAATATAAAGGTTTTGCCTGATTATTCCCCCCTACATCACAGTCTCAAAAGAAAAAAATTTTATATAACGTAGGGTTGGTGTAGGTCTTTCAAGTCTTAGCAAAGAAAGAAATCATAGATCAAAAGATTACTAGATTTGACTATAATTATTTTTTAAATTATGTACGTCAAAAAACACTGCAAACAATGTTATAATACAAAAAACTAGGCAAAATATTTGTAACATACGCAGCAAAGTGCTACCGTTCTTAAATAAAGACTCTCATAAACCAGTGAGAAGTGAACACCTTAACATAAAAATGGACAAAGACGTGGGATAAGCAGTTTATAAAGGAAGAAATACAAACGGCTAAATAAACAGGGAAATTTTCTAACTTCACTGATAAGACAAGAAATATAAGCCAAAACAAAGAGAGAATTTTTTTCCTATCAAACAAGCAAAAAGAAAAAAATTAATTTTAATTGGTAATTTCTAGCACTCATTCTTAGAGCGAGGCCTGCTGGAGAGAACAGAGCTACTGGCACCTCTAAGGTACAACTAGTGTCTTTCTCAGCTCCCAAGAGAAACTGAGCACAACACACTTGAAATAAGTCTTTACTTATTTCCACTGAAAATGCAAAATGCATCACACAAATATAAAATACCATTCTCAATAGTTGTGGTAGAGAATTCTACTAAGGGGATGGGTATGAAAAACGGAAAAATTTGACTTTTTATGTAGTATTACTTTATCTCTATTATATTTCACATTAAGGCATTTTAAAATGAGCCTTTTTAGTTTGCTAGTCTGCATCTTCTCTGCATTGCTTCTTGGCATTGACTCATTAAGTATTCTTCATCTGATTCAAGGCAAAATATGCTTCTGATCAAATATGCACTCCCATGCTCTTTGGCAAGCTACAAACCAAATTAGAAAAATCATAAATCTGGTGCTAAACATTCTGGAGGGATGGTATATGCTATACCTTCCTTATCAGAAAATCACACATATGGATTGCAATATGTCAATAAATTGCGTCTGTGACTTTTCTCACTCCTAATTTTAAAAATCATAGAAAGATCAATAAAATAAGCTATATTACTATATTTGGATTAATAACTAACAAACCTAGCTCCTTACTTCTCAAATGGAAATCATTCAAAACTATTTTGAAAGACACTCAAAATGTACTTGAAATGTACATTTTAATAACCATATCTGCATAAAAGTTAAAAATAAACACATTTGATATCCCAAGGCTGATACCAATTTTAATATCAATAACCACCTATAGAACATGGTTCTTTAAAGAAAGTTTGCTGTTAAATAGCTTATAAAATCATGCTATCACTCTGACTACGGCCCTTCATTTAAGAAAACCTTCACTTTCCCTATTTAAATCAACATATCAAAAATTATCAATTATCACTAACATTTAACCATATATGTAATGTGCATTTTCATACCACAATTTTGTCATTTCACATGAAAATCACTTTTAAAGGTTTTTTTTAGATAATTACAGCATAAACGTCCAATAAACCATGTACATAGTAAACAAAATTCTTTGTATCTCATAGGAATCACGGCCTAAAAATACAATTCTGTGTATGACCATTTAGTAAAATGACCAAAGATCAAATTTGGCAAAATGAGACTTAAGTATACAATTACCATATAATACAATAAATCTTTCAATTCCAGTAACAAAGTACTTTAACCACAATTCTCAGTGTGAGACTAATCATCACAAATTTAAAAATCTAAAAAGAATCTATCTTCATTAAATTATCTATATAAAAGACTCTAAACTCTGTCAAATATATTTTATTAAATAATGGTTAACAAACATTAATTTTCAAAAATGTAATACAATTGTTATTCAATAAATATTTATTTCAGGACCAGTACATGCAAAGTTCTGGGCTATGCACCATGAAGAGCACAAAGATGCATAAGATCTTTCTTGGACTTCTCACAGAAAAAACAATCTCATAGCAAAGAGAAGACACACACATCTCAGAATCACGGAATTTCACAGCTTGAAGGGATGCTCAGTTTATTTCATCCAATATAGGTAACCACACAGGAGAGATCCTGTGTTGAAAACAGGAAAGTTTCTTTCTGATCTCTTAAAAATTTACCTTTACACCTACATTAAATGATTAGGATTTTCTCTTCACTTGAATTCTTCTGCTTGTGAAATGCCTCTGTGTGCCTTTTACCCAGTTTTCTTTTGTAGTGTTGGTTTTATCATGAATAAAACACACATACACACATAGCAAATATCTATCATCTATCATTTTTTTGCGAATCTTTTAACTGTTGAGATTTTTCCCTTAACGTTATTCATGTTTCGTTGTTGGTTTTTGTTTTCTGGTTTTTGGTTTTTTTTTTCCTTTTTGATAAAGAAAAACCTATAGAGCATTTCTTCACTGATTCTATCTTGAGGCCATTTTTTAAAAAGAATTAGAGAGTCACCAGTGTTTTCATCTACTAGTTGCATGGGCTCATTTAAAAAATGCAATTATTCAGTCCACTGGGGATTTTAGTCTGGGGCATACTGTCAAATAAAGTTTCAATTTAATTCATTTTCCACATACTTATAACATTAAAGGTGAATAGATGGTACCAAAAAACAAAAATTTTTGAAAAGGAAAGAAAAAAGAAAATCACACACAAAACTGAGAACAATTAAGCCAGTCTCAGATTTCTCCACAGCAACTTTCCACACCAGAGGACAACTGACCAGTGTTTGCAGAGTTCCAGAAGAAAGAAACCAGCACCCAAGAGCAGTCTGCCTAACCAAGATGTCTGCAGAGGACAAACAGAACAAAAGACATTCTCAGCAAGAAACAGCCACCCATGAGACCTTTCTCAAGAATTCTACTTAATGATGGAAACTAGACCACTAAAATATGAATCAAAATTCAAGGATGGAAAAGTCAAGGTAAAAAACATCATGGTGAGTATCGAATTCCAGTTCATTATATTCCAGTTAAATACAGAACTAGAATTAAACAATTATAGGCCTTAATTACAAAACAGAATGTAAATGTTATAAAGCTCAAATAAGTAAAAATAATGTTGTAATAAACAAAAATAGGGAGAGGACAGGAAGATAGGGTATATAAGTGCATTTTTCAAAGCAGAGCAATGTACATGGTCTAAACAGAAACGTTTGCTTTAAAACCCTAACACTAACTACGTTATGTTTTTAATAATCTCCTTTCTTAACCTTAGATGGATTTTCCAAAATATATACAGTCACGCATCACTTAACGATGGGGACGAGTTCTGAGAAATGCACTATTAGGCGATTTCATCTTTGTGCAAACATCACAGAGTGTGCGGACACAAACCTACATGGTATTGCCCACTATTCACCCAGGCTCTATAGTACTAATATTATGGGACTACCACAGTATGTGCAGTCATTGACCAAAATGTCATTGAGAAGCATACGACTGTACTACCTCTTGTAGTGAAGAAGTACTTATTTGGAAGTTCCACAGTTCTTTTAGGCACATTTAGTTTCTTTTCCTTTTTATAGATTTAAGTAAAAATAAATGTGATCCTTTTTATTTAAAATAATAGGCATAGTAAGATCAACAGATCCAAAGGAAGGAAAGAAGGGAGGGAAGAGAAAGCAACAATGGAAGGAAGTTGGATTTCTGGTTATCTAACACATTACGGTGGTTATTTGAGCGGTGACTTTTAAATTTCTTCTCTGTATTTTAATTTTTTATAATGAACTTATTATACAAAGGTAATAGGGATTTTTTTCCTCTGCTGTAAAAAATCAAATAGAAAGTAGTCATAAAATGAAGATAAATAACCAAGGTTACAAGGGCATTGTACATCTTTTGGAAAATACAGAAGTGAGTTTGACCTACAAACAACTCACCTGGATATCAAAGTTACAGTTCATAGATTTTGAGCCAAGGGGTGGTCCTCTGGGATCTTTTAACTTCTCGAAAACAGAGCTGTGAGGTGGAAGTCTACTTTGTATTTTCGTACACAACTAAAGTTTTGTGCATATTTAGGAAGTCTGATCTCCTGAGTAAACAAACCCAATGACCTCCTCTCAATCCCCATCCTAAACTGTCCCCTGCAGCAGTTGACTCTGCTAAGGTACCCTCCTTTACACTCTGGGAGAGGCTTCAGTGCCTTGCACACAGCAGCAATGCAAACATTGTCGAGTGATGAATGGGCGTTCTCCTGACTGCTCTCATCTCTGTCAGTGTGCAGGCTCCTTCCCACGCTTCTTCCTTCCCTTACCCTCCCACACATAGGCATCCCCCGAGCTTTGGTTCTCACTTCACTCCTCTGCTCAGTCTAATTTCCCTAAATTATCTCATCCACTCCCCAAACTCTAGCCCTGGCTTCTCTGCTGAGCTCCAAACCTAAAATTGGAAATATGTGCTAGACATCTCTACAAGGATGCCCTCCAGCATCTGAAATTTGACATGCCAAGGTTGAATCATCTCCCCAACCTCCCACCCTACCCATCCAACATCCTACTTGCCAACATGCATCTCCCCTTGCATCTCCAATGGGGGCAATGGTAAAACATTCAGCTTCCCAAAAACCTGGGTGTTGTCTTTAACTCCTTCCTCTCCTTTGTGTCCACACCTTTTATACCTTCATAATGTCTCTCACACACATTCCATCCTCCCCACCCACACTGACATCATCTAATGCAAAAGCAGCGCAGTATGATGAAAAGAACACCAGGTTTGGACTCAAAAACCCTAGGATTTGAGGACCAGCTTTGCTCTGACTTTGTTTTGAGACCTTGTACACATTACCTAACATAATTTTAGTAGAAATCTTTAAATCATATGGTCTGCAATTTGCTCTCCTTTGCCAAAAGAACAAAACCAAAACTCCTCAGCATGGATTTCAAGGTGCTCTGTTATGTGACTCCACCTTGGCTCTCTGCTCTCACCTCCCAGTGCATCCCCTCTATCTTCCACGTTCTATCAAGCCACGACCCTATAATTTCCTCTCCCCAAATACACCCTGCATTTATGCTGTTCCCTCCAGTCTAGAATTTCCACTTTGGGAAACCTCTCCTTCGAGGTCCAATTAAATATCATCTTCTCAATAATACTTCCACTGATTCTTCAACAAGGTAAATGGCCCACACTCTACCTTGTAAATAGAAGGGTTTTTATAATTCTCTCTCTTCAACTAGATTATATAAATTCTCAAAGGACAGAGACTGTGGAGTATTCACCTTTGACTCTCCATCACTTACCGAGTCTTAGACACGTTAGGCATTTAATGGACGTATGTAGACCTGAATTGCATAAATGAGTCCCCTTTAACTCTTTTAATTTCAAAACAGAATTAGAAGCATATGGAAAGTCAAAACTATATAGTGAAAATGTATAAACAATAAGTGATTAGTTGAAGGTATCTTTTTAAATGAAAATGGAGAAAAAAATTTTAAATACATTATTAAGCTTTAAGAGAAACAAAAACATTGTTTGGTGCTCCCTCTGCTGGCTTTGCAGCAGCAACTTAAGAATGTTGAACAACACCACCACAAGGAAGTAAACAGATTCAGTTTATCTGCTCCCTGTATGTACCTCCCGCAAATAACCGGAGTAGAAATTTTTCATTGAGTTCATCTGGAAATAATCCTGTCTGCAAAAAAGGCTGGTCTACAAATATTGTTTATAAAGAGACAAAACCCATCTTACAAGTTTGCTGATAATTCCTGCCAGAATTCCTGTTTATACCTTTGTTTTCTAATTAAACCACCTACTTTATGTATAAACTATTTTAAATTTTAGCTGAAGCTACTGAGAAACAAAGTAGGATGAGATCTTTTTGTTTTCTAACTGATCTATAGTTTTTTAAAACTGATTAGGAACATAAGAGGTTAAATTCTTCTTGTGTTTCTAAACAGAGTTATTCTGAGTACCCTGAAGGCATTTAATTCCAAAACAGGAAGCCACAGAGAGGAACACTTGGTTACACTAATGTTATGCAGATCTTTTGGAACATATTTTCCTAAACACTTGCTGAAAGAACCTTTTCTACACCGCACGCTATCACACGAAGTTGGAGAAGGGTCCCCGTATACCACAGTGCACTTACTGCTGAAATTGCCCTTCATTATTTCTCTATTTTCCTCCACTTTTGTTACTTTAAATGGTCTTGTGCTTGCTCATAAAAAAGAGTAGTAAGAAAATCAGGTTGGGGTCAGGGAACACACCTCAGTTCAGTTGTTTTTGCACATATGTGTACAACAGCTATGCTATGGCTTATGGCAGCCAACTTTTAAAAGAAGGATTTAGAACTGATACCACAGAAAGATTAACCCAACACCAGCAGAGAATCACTGCTAAAGATCAGTCCTCTTTAATAAATTCATGTTTTCTATGCTTTGAACTGTATTATAAAATTTCTTTAATCTAAAACACGTTAAATGAGATTTTGCCCCGTCACTGAAGCAAAGAACAATAGTAAACCATCGGCCAATGGAAAGAGCAGTGGATTCACGTAATTAAGTGGCGTGGACGCTGGAGCTAGCACTGTTACAGAGCAAATCACTCACAGTGTGGCCAGTTCTACTTCCCAACCTCTCAAGGAAGAGTTCAGACTACTAGTGATCAGCAAGGTGCTGCCTGTCATTCCGTGACTGAACAGGTAAACTAGATCGTAGGTCCACTTTAAGTTACAGCTGTAAGGCAGGAAAAAAATACCAAGGTGAGTGCATTTTTCACATGCCACTTGATTTCATATACCATTTCAACGCCATGTTTAAAAATAGCTCTCTTTGTTAGTTTCTGTCTTACTTTGTATTCAGTTATGTTTTAAAGAAAGTAAATGATCACTGAGCAATTATCCTTCTGTGCTGGAAATTAAGGTTTCACGCACATTCTTGATTATCCATAAAAATGAAGTGCAGTAATATTAAAGGCACTAGTCTGGTCAGAAGAAGCCAAATAGGAAAGATTGTATATTTAGATCTGCTTATGGTTTCTTCCAAAGAATTTATGAAAATATTTATTCCATTCTTAACATTGAAGCAGTAAGAATTTTGTTGAAATCAGCTATGAGGACATCAAAATAGTATTTTTAATCCATTCTGCAGAGCTTGGAAATTATTTTTCTTTAAGAAATCTCCATGTGAACAAGAACAAGGGTTTAGCCACTACAGCGTGTATTCTCGTGCTGGGATTTGTCACTGTTCCACTCTACCCAGCCCTGGAAGTGCTGAGACGAGAGACTGGCTGGCGAGCGGCTGCCTCCCTGTTCGGGCCATAGGACAATGGCAGCCAGGCACAGAGGAGGAGGCAGAAGGTCAGAGCACAGAAGGATATTCCCAGGCTCACAGTGACTCTATCAACCAGTACATGGAAACCTCTAAAATGCTGAGCTGCTGTCTTTTGAGCAGGGCTGTCAAATCATTAGATTTGTTTTTGGAATTTCAGTTCATGAATATGTCCTCTAATGTTCAGAGGGCATCCTCACTGAAATGTACGATTACATAGATGACTGTAGCAAAGAAACCTTTACATCCCAAAAGATTTAACAGCAAGTCTTCATCATAGAGTGATTCATTTCACTTTAAATTATTGAATGCTCTACTCCAAAATGATACAACAAGGTTTCAGAGCTGTAAATTAGCTGGCAGTTGAATAATATCTAAAAAAGACATTTTGAAGTATGGAAGAAAAATATTTAGAATGAGAGATTCATTTCCATTTAACATCATATATACCCAATGATGAATGAACACAGGAAACTTATGATGTGGTTTGTTGCAAAATGGAAACAATAGTACCCAATAACAGTTATGCTTCTTGCATTCCTTACAATAACTGGTTTACCCTATTAGCCAAAACCAGAGCAGTAAACTACTGAACAATTTCAGAGAAAATTTCATTTCTGAATGAAACTACTAAACACTTTCTGTAGAGAAAATATCAGGAAGGCCATTTATCAGGCTTCAGCTGTGTCAATGTCATCATGAGCAAGTGTGTGACATTAAACATGGACATCAATAGGTATTCACCATAACTCAGTCCTTTGTAGACTCTGTGACGCAGTATGAACTGATAACAAAAGCAATTCATCTATGTTATGTTTATTTCAAAACACCTACAACATCAGTAAATACTAGACATTTTGAAACAAAAATACACTTAAATGAATATAACTTTATACCACCCTTTAGACCAGCAGGTCTCTAAAGGTATATTTTAGGGTAGACCAGTGCTTAAAAGTTTATTTAATAAAATAATGTTGATTAAGAAAAAACTAGTTTTAAACTGTTATAACTCTATTCTATATATTGCCTTCAGCTAATCCCAATATAGTAGCCAAAATTACTATAGAATCTGGTCAGTTAACATTACTACTAGTTTGGCTGCTAAATCAAATGTTAAATCAGTTTCTTAAATATTATTCACAAAAATTAATTACCTATGTTTAATTTTTTATATTAATATTCTGTAATTGCACAAAGTTTGATCCAAAACTGATAGAAAATATTTTAGCATTAACTAAAAATTTACAGTTAATTTTGAAGAGAGGAGAGGAGAAAATTTCAATATACAGTTAATCTTCTTAATCTTGTAGACAGAAAATAGGCTCTTTCAAAACTATCAGTAAGTGGAGTGTAAATTATTACAATTACCTAGGAAGACTGTTTGGTAGAATCTACTAAACATGAACACATACATAGCCTATGGCTGATCGATTCCATTCCCAGGTTTAACGCAAAAGAAATATGTCCAGACGCTCACCAAAAAAGATACATAAGAATGTTCATAGCAGCACTCTTTGTAATAGCCAAAAAATAAAAAGAACCCAAATTCAGAATATATATACATACAAATGTGGTATATTCACAAGAGGGAAGTGCACACAACAAGTAGAATGAACAAACAACTAACTACATGCAACGTGGATGAATTTTACCAACATGATTGAACAAAAGGAGACAGACACAAAAGAATCTGTAGTGTATAATACATTGACACAAGGTTAAGCATAAAGAGGCCAAATGAATCCAAGTGTGAGAAGTCAGATTACTGGGAAATGTTGGGGAGCAAGTAGTGACTGAAAGTGTCAAGAGGGGTCCTGGGCTTCTGGTGATGTTCTGTTTCTTCACCTGGGCATGGAGCCATGAGTGTGGTTGATTTGTGAACACTCACTGAGCTTTAACAAAACAAAAACAAAAAAATCTGTAGGCAGAAGCAATGGGAGAGCTACTGAAGCCCCCCCCACCCCAGGCATACGTACACACACTGTGATTTAGAATGAATTTCAGAAGGAGACATACGTCTTTTGTGGGAGAGGGAGACAAGTGGGAAGCAGGACCAGGGAGGGAAGCTGAGCAATGGACCTATTAGCAAGCCTCACAAATGTCGTAGAGAAAGAAGAGAAAGGGGCAGGCAGGTTTACCGCAAGAATGAATCCCAATCCCACAAACACAACGTGGAGCAGCCAACCTGAGACATCCATGGAGGGAGTGCTGGGACTGTGGGCTCAGTGGGGTCCCTGTGATAGCAGGACCTCATCTTAGAATGCAAAGGGAAATCACAATTGTTGATCTCTACATACCAGGTCCTGTGGTAAAAGCTTTACAAAGAAATTATTTTACATTTTACTAGACCAAGAGTACAGAAAGAGCTCAGAAGATGTTTATTGAATTTAACTTAATTGCCATAATCCTTACATAATAGGTAGTATTATCCTTGTCTGCAGATAAGGAACATGAGGCCTAGATGAGTTATTTGCACAAAGTTTTAGAAATAGCAAGTGGTGGGAGAAGTTGGTCCTTTTTGTCCTGGGGAGGAGTTGGGAAGAAAGAAGAAAAGCAAAGGCAACCAATCCCTCTGTTTTAATTTAATCTTTCCTCTGCAAAATAAGTTGTGATCTTTAGAAAGCAAGGTTCAATTTAGTTCAACACAGTGCATATCATATTAGATACAGATTTCATCTGAGGATCAAGTTAGGATTCCTCAAACTAAAAGTACTCACACTGGGTGTGAAATAAGGCCTAGATGCCAAGAAAGAGGAGACCCAAACAGCTGGGATTCAACAGCTGCTTCCACAAAGCAGAGCCAAGCTTTCTGCTGATGCCCTTACACATAGGTAAGGGCATCAGCAACACACTGGTGGGAAGGATGGTCTCCCCAAGACCTCCCCCAAACCCAGTCTTTTTATGTCTTGCACCATAAGAACTCTAGGATGAAGCAAAAATGCCTTCCAGAATTGTTCTCTGTGAGTAACTAAAAAAAATATATAAATATACAAATAATCAAAACTATGCCTTGAGAATGTATAGAGGCCAACTTATGTGTAACCTGTATTTTGTGTCAAAAATTTCATTTAAGTCTCTAAAGGAGCACAATTTAACAGTGTTTAATGTTGCATTCTTACTGATATTTGTTTTACCTATTTGGAATCTTGAAAACAAAGCTTCTTTTTTATATGAAATTTTTCTAATTTGGCAAGCAATAGATTTTCTCCTTCTGTTTGTAATGGAGTTGGCAGCCAATAACTTTTGTGTCTAACTTCGTATATTATCTGTGTCAGCAAGAATGAGCACGGGCGGGGGGGCCGGCCTGGTGGCACAGTGGTTAAGTTTGCACGTTCTGCTTCTCGGCGGCCCAGAGTTCACCAGTTCCGATCCCGGGTGTGGACATGGCACCGCTTGGCACGCCATGCTGTGTTAAGTGTCCCACATATAAAGTAGAGAAAGATGGGCGCAGATGTTAGCTCAGGGCCAGGCTCCCTCAGCAAAAAGAGGAGGACTGGCAGTAGTTAGCTCAGGGCTAATCTTCCTCAAAAAAAATAAAGAATGAGCACAGGCCTAGAACTACCAGGGTGTCTTCAGTCTGCTTCCTATAGACTCACAGTGCAATCAGGGTGCAATAGTCTAAAATTACAAAACTTATAACTTTAATATGTTAGATATCTTAATTATAGAATTGTCAATACAAATCCAAAATACACACCACATCAACATCTTAGTATTTTCCGAAGAAACTTATGTAATTCAAACACCAAAGGAAAATAAAAATCTACCACAAAATAGGACTAAAGCTACACATTTCACGTGCCACAAATCTTAAGATATATCTGTCTTATAGCTGTATGAGTAAAATTTGGGTCAATCACTTGACCAATACTTCCTGTAGAAAATTGATCAATAACAAAATTCATAAGGCACAGAACTTCATGTATCAGAAAGATTGCTAAGTGTGTGAAGTCACTACATGTCCACAGAATCCTATTTCACTAGTGCCTGCCTTCCATTAAAAGAATATGTTGGCTTCTGAATAATATGAAAACAAGACTTGTGTACTGAGTATTCACTTTAAGGAACACCTGTTTAAGGAAACTTACAGGAAACTTTAAACTCCAGTTTTGGTCTCCAACCTAATTAATGATCCTTCTCAGCTTCTATTTTCTGCTTATTTGGTTAGCAAGTGTTCTGTGTCCCCATCAAGTCCTTGGTAAGAACTTAACATGATCCAGGCAAAAGACAGACCCTGCAGAGACCCACTGAAGACCTCCCTCCAGGGGGCAGGCAGCGCCCAGTCAACACTTTAGGGATGCTGGTCCAACCAGTTCTGAGTCCCAAAGATCTGTTTCTTCTTTCAAGAACACAGGGCCAAGGACAGAGCCAGAGGAGGCCCATGGGTGGCGCTCAGGAAGCCCTAGTCCCTGACTGCTGCCGCCTAGAAAGAGACTGGCAGCATGGGCTGATACACAGCAGGTGGGTACATGTGCAGGGAGAGGGGTTGGGGGAGAGGGGGCGGTCAAAGCAACAGCACTTGTTTATATAACAAATATTTAGAAAAAAGGAAGTCATTGTCTCTTTAAAAAGAAAAGATCTATTAGTACATTGAGTGTAGGGTGGGGATTGACTAGTGATTGATTGACAAAGCAATGTAAATTCCATAACCACCCCATTTGCATGGATATTGATTGCAGCGGGCTTCAAAAGACTGATTACGCTGCTTCCCAGATTTGAAATGAGTGTCTTGTACCCTGGCCCCACCGAAAAACCAAGAGAGCAAATGTTAAAGAACTTAAATATGCACATGTGAAAATGTATTTATGATTAATGATAATTTATTAAGTGCAATACTGTGCTAAATTAATATATGCAGAGTAAGACTGCCTTGTGCTGATGGGATTATCTTGTTTATGATTACTGTTATTGACTTTAAAAGAGCTCCATCACTATTTTCTGAACAAGAGGCATGTCTAATATACACAATGCAAAACATTTGGATATTGACTACATTGTCATTGTTAATCTGATGTAGGTTCAGTCACTGTAATTAAGGGTCCTCTGTATCTATAAATGTCATTCCATTTATAACAAAGAATATACAGAAATAAATTTAAATACAGATTTATTATTTCTGATTAAAAATAAACATACAACGTAAATTATAACACTTTATCAATTAATAATTATACCAATATCCTTTAAATAAGTTACAGCTCAACTAAAATTATTCAATATATAAATAATCATTTCTTTAAAATTAATTATGAAATATTTTATCAATCAATGTACTTTTTAAATTTATTAAACTACCATGAAACAGAAGACAAACTGCCTCCATTCTTTTCTTTGGGGAGCTAAAGGTTTTTTTTCCTTCTTAAATAACTTATTCAGGTTTGGCTGACAAATATTTAGATTTTTCTAGGTTTTTTTTTTTTTTCCAATGAGTAATCTGAGAAAATATAAATCTAGGTGAGGCTGCAGTTTGAACCACTCTAAGAGCTTTTTCTTCTTTTGGTGAGGGAAAGAAGACCTACCAGTGAGCAGGGTTTTGTCTAGTTTTTGGTTCATAGTTGACGTCAGTTCAAGTTTCTACTTAAATCCAAATTAAATTAAATTAAATTAAATTAAATATGTAATGCTGTCTTATTGCTCTTCTTAGGGTTCATTGTTCTACTTGACTTCAATGCTGGCGACAATCTACGTGTTGTGGGTGAGCCGCACAAAGGTCCGTGCAGTTTGGTCAAGCTGACTTGCTGGGGGGACTTTCTGAAGGAGAACTATCTGCTCAGTACTTGTGAGCTCATATTGTTCATACAGTTCACCAGGACTGTTTCCATAAATCTTATTCAATTCTAAATGACCTGAAAAATGTTCACGGTCCCATTAGCTAAAGGCTTTGTCTTTAGGTCAAATCAAGTGTGGAAGTCTAGAAACAATGATCCCTTTATTCACACAGTGTTCATTAAAACTAACATTAGGAAATAATTAAAAAGAAAAAGCTGTGCTCAATTAAAAAAAATAAGTTCACTATTACCATATATCTATTTCTTTAGATATTAAAATACTAAACTTAAGGAAAGACATGATTTATTCTTGTGTCTCAAAATTGATTAATCTAAATTAAAAGTATTCAACACCTTTACCTGGCCTTAGCTTTTGAGAACCTGAACTGAAAGATAACTTTCTTGACTGTTTTGAATGAGACAATCAAGACTATAGCAAAATCCAGACTAAACGTCACAGTGCGAAACAAGATTTCCTTAGAACAACAATTCATCCTTTTCCGTATGGTATCTTTATTGCTTTTTGTTGTTGTTAAACCAGTTTTAAGTTGTCCATTCTCTTCTTTCTAGTTCTCTAGCTCCATACATCAATTCTTTCCCAGGCCCACACCACTGTGAATGGAGTATGGTAAACAACACTCCAATTTTACAAGATTGCTTTAGTTTTGTGAGTAATATGAATGATAGTATAGTCAAAAAAAAAATTCTGCTAGAGTAGAAATATGCCCACTATTTTGCATCCTATCAGCCTGACATCTTCAATTACTAAGATGAAGCTAATATAATGGAAATGACTGGAAATGTATTTTAAAATTAAATGAAGAAAATGATTCATGTTTCTAGTTTGGGTTCAGTTTTTATACATGGCCATCTTGTTGCTGAGGTTGAAATTCCTGCAACGTGAATCTCCTGTAAGTCCTCTTGAGACTTCTTTGGGCAAATATTCTGCCGTAATTTAAGGTGGTCCTAGACCTTCTGATAACCCTTTTCACATAATTTAAGCAATTGTGAAAAAGACTTTCTAAATATTTCGGTATTTTACTACTGAATCCTCACAGGTCTGTGACTTTTAATCTTTATTCAGGAATATTTGGGTTTGGAAAAAAGAAAATGTTTTAAAATTTTAACACTAATATTTGGAGGGATAAAGGTCATTAGCATCCATAGTAATAATAATAATACTTTGTATTTACATAGTATTCTTCCTCAAGAAAGAAAATAAAATTCCTTCTCTAACAAAAAAACTCAAGGTTGCCAGAAAATTCTGTTTTACAAAACACATAACAAGCTTAAGATATTTTAGACATAACTGGCTATGATTTTGCAGGAGATTTACTTTTGTTAAATTTAAAAATAGAATATATTATTGCTTCAAACAGCATCCACAGCTACTAAGAAAATGGAGCTAATTTACCTTAACCTTGAGGTAACTCAGAAGATATTTCTTTGTAGGTAATTCATGGGTATCTCTTTGTATTTCTTTGTAGGTAGTTTAAGAAAATACATATACTAATATGAACATGAGAGACAGTAATTAAAAGACAGAAGATATTATCTGATCAGATGATTTTTACAAAAAAAATTGGGGCAGTAGGATGTGGCAGAGCACAGCATGAAAGTATATGGAATTACTAATTAGTGATTTCTTTTGTTAAGTTAGGACATTAGTCTACATAATATGTTCATAGAAACTTTCACTTTAGGATGAAACACTAAATTACCAGACCAGCTCACACTTCTCCCGAGGATGCTAACATCAGCAAACAAACTTTGCAATGTTTTGGATAGATGGGCCCCATTACAAGCTCTCGAGACTTCAATAATAAAGCTGGCCTAGTTAGCCCACAACCTATGGAGCCCTCCCCTCAACGCCTCAGAGCCTGGCACAGGCTCTCATCAAGGAAATACAATAATGGAAGGTGAAGCCAAAGGGCTAGAGGGCAGCAAAAGAAATTGCAAAGCAGTGCTGAGACCATGGACTGGAAAAGATCATGAGGTACCAAAACAGCAATATTCCAACAAGAGAAGGTTCCATTTTGAGCTCACTTTGGATTTAAGTCATACCAGGGGAAATACATCTGAGACATAAAATAGGTTACAAGGTTTAAGTTGTTCTAAAATAAATATGAAGTTAGACCTATAAAAGCTAACTTTTAAGCTGCTTCTACTAATAGCAAAAATGGCAGAAATTGACATCTGCAGAAAATTTAAACCCAAATCATCTGACAAAATAGACAAATCTTAGAAATAGATGTGTGAGTGCACCTGCTTTTCTCACAGCAATGCATAAAAATATTCCAAGCCCAGACAGTCTGTAGAACTGACGCTTTCTGAGTCTTTATTTGACTATAAAATGATATCCACGTGATAGCTGATGTGCTAGTGTTTTCACTTGAAAGATTAGTAATATCTTTGATAATAAACCTGGTTCCTATTTTACAATATTGGTGGCAAGAAACTATATTTAAGGCAAAGGAAAGAAGCTGATAGACTTCTTGCCTCTGTGAAGTCTCCAGAGTTGAGCTGTCATAAGGATGCACCAGGGTAAAGAAATGTTACTTGAGGAGTTCAAGATTATTACTGTCTATTAATTTTCCTACTACAGTAATACACCTGGTTTTAAGAAACACAAGGTTCCTCTTGTTCTTCAGAGCCAGCCTATCTCTGGGAGTGAAGGAGCGGTTAGAAACTGAGGAAGGCTGGGAGATCCTCAGGAGGAAGGGCACACGTCACTTGCTCAATTTCTTCAGCAGTGATAGAAGCCTTTGCACCTCCTGCCAAAGCCACCCTCCCCAGCCAAAAGGAGCCAAGCAGGAGCCAGGGTGGGCTGCGACACACTGAGGGAATGATAGGACGAGAGGATCTACCGGCTGCAAGTACAGACACCACTCCCAGTTAAGACGAAATGAAACAAAATACTCTGTGATTCTCTTAATTGAAGATCACACTTTAGACAAAAATTAAGCTTAATTGAAATTAAAGATGGCAGCTCTCATACAGAGATAATTAGTATTTGCTAATTGCACCATGATAATAATAAACTCATCCCATCATCCAAGTAGATTTTATGCCTGGGAAAAACCATTCTCCTTCTCTTATATTTTTAAAAATTATTTTAAAAATAAACTACTCTTTGCTCAGTATTCATATTACCTGTGACATAAATATAATAATTAAATGATATTTTACTTTTGAAAATAATGACTTTAAAAACTATTAAAGTCAAAGATGTTAAGTAATTTGCCCAAGATCACCCCACCTATAAAGGAAAGAGCCACGACTCAATGTGGGTCCTGCTTTTTCCACCCCACCAGACCTCCCAACCAACAAATCACAGGTTTTGTCTCCATTTGGAACCTAGTTTTGCAGAACCATCTAAGGCTTCTCTGTGAAGGTTTCCTTTCTGGTATCTTCCTTTTCAAAATATAATAAAAACTTTTTTTTCTGGCTGTAAAAACTATAATACTCATTATTTTGAAAAATTAAGAAATATAAGAAGAGAAACTAAAAAATAAGCATCACCTGTAATTCTGCCTTCCAGAGGAATATTGTATGTGTCTATGTGTTTGTATGTGTGTATACTTCCCATGGTATCATCTATACATACTAGTTTATAACTTGCCTTTTTTCACTTAATATGTTGAAGATACCTTTTCATGTTAATAAATATAAATCTGCCTCATTGCTTATAATAGACGGTAGTATCCTGAAGGCATACACAGATTTAACAGCTGAGGAAATAATTGTAAAAAAATTGCAAAGATAATTGTAGGATTTAAAAATAATAAATAATTGCATATACAAAGATTAGCTATTTGACTAGTAATTGACATTCAAGTTATTTCTAGTTTTTATCAGCAATTCTACAATAAATTTTCTTTACAAACTTATGAAACTATTTGCTAGGATAAATTTCTAGGATTTGGAATTGCTAAGCCAAGTAACTATTTTAAATTTTCATACATATTACCAGATTGCATTCCAGAAAGACTGTGACAATTTACATTCTCACCTAAATGTGTTAGTACCCGTCTTGCTACCCATGCATATCATCATTTGTTTTCTTCCTTGACAATATGAGAGGTGGAAAATGGTAACTCTCAGTCATTTCAATTAGTATCACTCTGATTAGCATTGGTACAGAAAGACTTTTTATGTATTTATTAGTCATTTTTATTTCTTCTTTTCCCAACTTCCCACTATGAAAATGAGTAAAACAAATCTTAAGCAAATTGGAGTTGGGAAGACCTGTAGGGGGAGCTCTACTGTCCTAGCACACATGATCAATTACATGAAACTTGAAGAGACATACAACTGCACCTTGGACAACAAGTCAAACTAGTTTATTACTGAAGGAAGGTTTCTCTCCCCACTCCGCAACAGCCAATGAGAAACACCACAGCTCAGCCAATGAGAAGCCAATGCTGCCCTAAAGGGTTACTTTCCCCCAGTGAACTTTGTTTAGGACAGCCCCTGCCTGCTCCCCTTTTTTCTCTATAAAAGGAGCTCCCCTCCTTTGCTTTCTGGATTTGCCTATGGTTTGCCATAGCATGCACATCTTGAATTGCAATTCTTTTGGCTATTCCTGAATAAACTTGTTTCAAGGGTAAAATAACCGGTAAGTTTGCCTTTTAAGTTGACAGCACTAACAAAAACAAATAAATAAATAAAAGTACCTTTTTCCATTTTTCTTTTGGAATTTTTCATCTTTTTCTTATTGATTTACAAGACCTGCTTATATACTGGAGATATTAATCCTTAGTAGAGCACAATAATTGCAAATACTTTTCCCAGTTTGTCATTTGTCTTTCAACTTTGTTTATAGTGTATTCTACAGCATTGTTATTTATTTTTAATATAGTAAGTACAAATATCACTTGCCATCTAAAGTTACTAGGTTATTGAAGATCTCCACTTCCAGTCAAGAGGAAGTAACAGGGAAGAGATTTATCTTGCTACCTGAAACAACTAAAAAACTAGACAAAATATATGAAAGAATGCTATTTCAAGACTTTGGACATCAGGCAGCAAAAAATAGTGATCCCTGAGATGTGGGAAACAAACAGCCCTAAGATTGTTCCAGCTTATTGCCTAGAAAGAGTTTGCAGGCCACAGTGCAGAGAGGCATAAACCAGGCAGAGCCCATAAGGTTTCCTGAGTTGAGGAGATGAAACCAGGAATCCAAGGAAGCCAAGACAGTTAAGAGTTTGCAGAGCAAAGAATTATAGAGGAAAGAGCTGCCCAGAAAAAGAAGTCCCTCACATCCTCAGCTGAGTATGGATTAACTCATGCGTATGAGGAAAGAACCCAGGTCAAGAAGAGAACCATCCCAAAGGAACTGGAGGAAGCAATAGCTGACACTTGCACAGCACTGGGAATAGTTTGGGTTCCTACCAGTCATAATTCATGTGGCCCTGGGTAAAGTTGTCAGAGGAGCTTTGCCTCAGGAATGG